ATATTATAGCTGTTGATTAAAAAACCTATTTTTCCTAGAGATTTATATCTACCTCAATACACTCTTTCATTGTTTTTATATTAGCTGGTCATTTCCTCTAAACCTGCTTTGAAAATGTTAGACTCTACTGTGAAACTAGACATTTCAGAAGGTTTTATTTATTAGTTAGAGATAACTCTCCTAAAATTCTCTAATGTAAAAACCAGGGAGCACCATGGTTAAAACCAGAAATATTTTTCATCATTCCTTTACATATTAGTTTTTAAAACATTTGTGTAATTTTTTAAGTTGTCAATATAAAACTAGTGAGAAAACAAAGGGTTAAATAAAGCTGTATAATACTGCTATTTTATGAATTTAGAAGACTTAAAACTTATACTAAAAATAAGAGAATTGAAACAAATCCTTCAAGTAAGCTATTTTTTGGATTTTCCCAGTATTCTGAAAGGACAAAACAGCTGATTTAAATATTCTATCTTCTGGAATATTCCAGCATTTTGAAATAAAAAGTGCTGATAAGAAATATTCATGAAAAAGTAAAAAATAACATTTAAAAATATTTACATAAACTCTAATATATTGCTAAAATGAAACTATAAAGTGTAACATCAGTATTCTACATAAATAAGCTAAAATAAAATGTTATTCTCCATCTTAAAAAAATAAAACATTCTGTGTAGCCTCAAAAACTCTTGCAAACCATTTTTTCAATGTGCTGAAAAGTAATATGCCCCCCTCTACTGTTAAGAAACAGTAATATTCATAAAGCAGAAAACCAATTCTTTGCTCAACTACTGCCACCCTGTGGCTATAAGATGGATCTTTCACTATACCATAGCTCCCCATCGGCTTAACAGGTTCTACAAATCTCTACTGTCTAAGTTACATAAAAGGGTTAAAGTTTTTTAAATAGTAAAAAAAAAAAAAGAAAAGAAAAGAAAAGAAAAAAGGTATTTGACTTTAAAAATGTATTTAGCAAACATTTACCAGGTCCTGTATTCATAAGTATGTGTTATGTTGGTCACAAAAATAAAAAGGACCTGGTCCCATCCTAAAAATAAATAAACAAAAAAACACTTAAAGAGATACATGCATAAACCAATCTTAAAGCTAATGAATCAAGGAAAAGATAATGGATAAGTGAGCATGGATGAGTAAATGGCCTTTCAGTTCATTTAAACTTGAGATTCCTTTAACTGGTAACCTCACTGAAATTTTAGGATAGGGAATTCACGATGAACTGTCCTTGATTAAATTCCTGCCTGCAGGAGAAAGTCCCTTTTAAGGATAACTTGCTTGCCTCTTACTGAATATCACTTACTTCTGAGGTGCACATATAGATACATGTCTGCACTTTGAGAGTAAGAATTAAACCAATGGGTAGGATGTCAACTTTCATTCTTATGTATATATACATTTTAATCCAATAACACGACATGTTATTTCTCATTTATAGTTATTCAGACATCAAACTGTGTAAATCTTATTCCAATTCATATCAACAAATATATATTAAATCCCTACTTATGTGTAAGGCATTATGCAAGGAATGAAAAGGGTAAATAAAAAACTATCCCGACCTTCAAGAATTACAATCTAGGAGACGGGATAAAACAAGTTCACAAATGGCTCTAATATAACTTAAGAGTTGTGTGTGTAAAATAAAGGTAGCATAAAACAAAGCCCCAAGACATTCAGAAGGAGTTTCACCTGATTGGTGAAATGACAAAGGCCTAAAAGAACAGGTGATTTTTACTATGGAATTTGCAGGCAGGGAAGCTTATTCTACGGGAAAGAGCAAAGGTAAAGAAATAATGCCTTGTTTAGGGAACAGCAAACTGTTTACCTTCTAAAAACATTTTTTTAAGCAGAAACCATGTTACAAATTAAATCTTACATAGAACCCCAATATATATAACATTAAGTGTAGTATTTTGTTGGTATAAGTGTATTTTATGAGTTCAAATTGATAGCATTTACTTATTAAGTCAAAAAATGTGAACATGCAGTTATTTTGATAAAAATTACAAACTGGTATCAGAGTTGAGAGATAAACAACTCCAGTTCCCAATTTTTGTATTTTGTTTTGACTGTCCACTACCAAGAAAATCCACTCATAATACCCCACATGTATAAGTGGGTGAGGAAACAGGCACTGTCATGCACTGTAAGTGGAAATGTGCAGTCTGTATGTATCAAAACTCAAACTGTGTGTACACATTGACCTAGTATATATCCCATTAATAAGCAAAAAAATGTAAATGCTCACTGTACCACTGTCTGTATTAAGGGGGAAAAAAAACCCCAGAAACAACCTAGAAGCTCATTAGTGAAGGCCTGGTTAAATAAATTATGCTATATCCACACCATGGAATACCAAACAAGTATTTTTTCAATGAGATATACAGTGAGACCTCTGTATTCACAGATGTGGGAGCCACAGAGGGTTACCTGCACCGTTTATATAAGGGACTTGAGCATCCAGGGATTTTGGTATGGCAGAGGGTCCTGGCACCAAACCCCCGTGGATACCTAGGGACAGCAGTAAGTACACTACACTACACATATATAATGATAAGGAAAAATATTCAAAGTTATACTTAAGTGAGAATAGCAATTTTCAGCAGCAGCAATGAAAATATACTGAGTGCTTATTATCAGGTACTTGTGCTAAGTGTTTAAATAATGAATTCATTTAATCTCATAATAATCCCATGACAGGTTTTCCTTTTATAAAAAAAGGAAAAGAAGATACACGGATATCAAGTAACCTTCCAAGGAAACACAGCCAGTAAATGACAGAAAAATGAGAATTCAAACCAAGTCTGTCTGAATCCAGAGCTTACACTGTTAAACATTAATAATGTAGTTCAAAACGTGTACGTTTTTAAGTATATATATATATATAGAGAGAGAGAATTAGCTTATATTCATATATGCATACATAAAATCTCTAGCAGTATGCATTTATAAAAATACACCTTCCAGCTTTGAGAAAGTGAGGAAAAGAAAAAGGGGGCTTTTATATTTCCCATAGTAACCTTCAGTGCTATTTACATGCTCCTTTTGCAATACTATTTTTATACTTTACAATTTTTTTTCAAAAATCCTGATCACACCATAAAGACGAACTTTATTCATCTTGTAATCTCAGGATACTCTTCAATTAAATAGTTCCAGAAACTTCAAAGAGTGAAGTGAAAGATTTTTCACAAAGTTGAATCTTTACATCAATACCTAACAACTACTCATATTCCTCATCATAAATATGTCACAAAGTACTGAAAGCTTCCAATAAACACTAAAATAAAACTAATGTGGTACCTTCAGTTTTCTTATTACTCTGACAATTGTTTTTGCTCAGTTATTACTCTGGAGTAGCACATTCAATTCACATGCTCAAGCCTGTCCTATCCTCACTTACACAACCGTTTGTGAGCAGTCACACAAAGATCTCAATTCAAAGACTGCTCAGACTGTCCTGAAGTTCAAATGTGCACTTTCTGTTCTATTCATTCATTCACGCATTGGGCAAACACTTATGGAGTGCCCACTAAGAGTCAAGCACTGTGCTAGGTGCTGGGCAGTTTTCTATAACCCACGACACTACCCATCGGTAAACTGTTTGGTACTGGTTCCCAAGGCGATGAGTACAGAAATTGAGACAGTTTATTTTTATACAGTTTAATATTGCCAGACATCCAATTTCATGTCCGCTGACTCAAAAAATCTGACTTGTATTTACGTCTATTTCTTCCATTTTATTTATCTAGTAATTCTATCGCATTTTACAAAATTATTGCCTCGGACAGATGGATTAAAAAAAAAAAAAAAGGTCATTTACAGAAAAGGAAAGTGAAGCATTGACAGGTTACATTACTTGCTCAAGTTCATAGTGACAGTAATTCTCTGATTCACCTCTCTACTGAATTAAGAAATATTTATGATGAGCCTGGTACGCCAGACACTAAGGTCCACACTGCAGCTACCGGGTAGAGCAGAGGGCCCTGCCTCTCCCAGTGTGAGTCCAACTTTACTCGGAGTCCCAAGAGTCGCCCTAGGCGCGTCACTAGCAACGCTCGCTGCCGGTTTCCCTTCCAGCACTCGCCTGTGGAAGACGCGTGCAAAAGAGTGTGGGCAGCGCACGCCCAGCATGTAGATACTGTACAAAAGTACAACAAACGGAAGAAAACCACCACCACACGCTCCGTTCTAAGTGGCCAGCAGGTGGGACAAGCCACACCGCGGCCCCCAACTCTACTCCCTACGCCGGGCCCCGTGCCCGCCTCCCGGTCCCACCCACCCTGCCGGGCCCAGCCCCTACGCCGGGCTCCGTCCCGGCTCCCGGCTCCACCCACAACGGCGGGGCCCCCCC